GTGGAGGGCGGGCTGGAGTCGGCTCCACAGAGCTGTGGGGTTGATATCTATTCCTCTTTCTATAGATGGGGAAACTGAGGCCACAGGAGTCCTGTGATTCGCCCAGTCCTGCAGAGACCTTGGGTTCACACCTAGGTCCCTGCTATGATCTTGCCGTTGCACTGGGGGGTTGGCCCTTCCTGACAGCGAGAAAAATCTTCATCCAGATGCAACTCGAGTGTAGAGTGTGGGGGTCACACCGTCACATGGGGCACCTGACTGTGGGCTCTCATTTCCTGTTGAAGGGTCCCTTTGACAAAGGTCACAACACTGCAAGAAAGCCTCTGGGAAAGAGACTTGCTCCAACAATTCCTGGAGCTCAATCCTTACACCATCACCTACAGCCACTTCCACGGGGCCCAGGTTCCTGATGTAGCTGTTCAGACTCTGAGAAACTACCTGGATGGGGGGGGGGAGGGGGAGGCAGCGCCCTGCAGCGCCCCCTGAGAGCGCATGGGGGGGACCCTGGTGTTTGAGCTGAGACAGTTCCCCCAGGCCACCTCCCAGGCACACACACCCCCAGGACAGACAAACTGCACCCCCACCCCACTTGTATTTTCCTAGTGGAGAGGCTTTCACATCGTTATTTCTTGACAGCTATTTCTGTGCAAATGACAAGCCAATGAGCACCAATGAGCTATGCAGTTTGGGTTGGGGGGCTTTGCTGCCTCTGAGCTAAATGAACCCGGGAGACTGATAACATGGCTGGGACTCATCCCACAACCCCACAGTCTCCATTCCCACTCAGAGTGACCTTACCAAGGATGCAATTGTTATGGAAGCAGACAGCCATGTGTGCCTTCCAGAGTGGAGGGTGGGTTAGAACTGCTGACCTTTTAATTACCAGATAAGTGTTTCACCAGGGGCCCAAATAGCCGAACCAAGTGTAAATCAAGTTTGGAAAACCTACATAAGGGGGTGCTCGGTCTATTGAGCCGAGAAATCTCAACCATAGAAAGTTACTAAGTCTCATGTGGAGGGAATAAAAAGTAACATTGTGATGGTTGTTGTGTGGGTTACAGAAGGCCTGGTGTCTCTGGCAGAGACCCCTGGTGACAATTTGAAGCCATTAGTGGCCCCACAATAGGGAAGGGCTGGAAATCTGCTCCCACAGATTCCATCCTAAGAAACTGCAGAGCAGTTCACTGTGTGCTGCAGGGTGGCTGTCAAATTTACCTGATGGCTCTCAACACCTGTGTCCTTCTCAAGATCTTATAGCCCAGCCCTAAATAGATGTCACCTAAAACGTCCAACTGTGGTATTTATATTACTTGCTTAGAGTTCAGGGAATAGAAGCCTGGAGAAGCCTGGGGTGACCTTGGAGGGCTGCCTGGAGGAAGAGGACTTACAGAGGGACAGGGAGATGAGGAAGTTTGTGAATAAAGGCACTGGCTTGAGCAAAGCATGAGGTGGAACATTCGGAAATTGAGGTCAGGAAAGAACCCTTCTCAAGCAGGCGGGCCAGGCCCTCTGGGAATCTGAGTGACCAGACCTGCTGGCACAGATGTCTTACGTTGGCACCATCAGCATTGGAACGCCCCCTCAAACGTTCCAGGTCCTCTTTGACACAGGCTCCACGGACACCTGGGTGCCCTCCATCTACTGCAACAGCCTCGCCTGCAGTGAGTGCCATGGCTCTGCCCTCCCACGACCCCGTTCCCTTCTCGGTCCTCAGCAGCCCTAACTGATGCCCCCCTCCTGTCCTCAGCTAACCACAATGCCTTCAACCCTCTGGCGTCGACCACCTTCAAGTTCGTGGGCCAGCAGATGTCCATCAAATATGGTACTGGAAGTATGAAGGGCTTTACCGGCAATGACACTATTAAGGTAACTCAGACCTCAGTGGCTGAGGGCGGGCTGGCCCCAGGGGTGTCCATTGCTGCTTATGGAGCCAGACAGGGAAAGGCTGGGGGCGCCCATCTTTCTCAAAGTCACCTGAAGGAGCAGCCCAGCTTTTGGAAGAACCTTCCAATCATACAGTGAGTACCTCCTTCACGTACAATGGCTTCCACCAGCCAATGGCTGAGTTTTCCATTGCTCCACAACCTCGGGAAACACCTATTGTCAAGACAGTATTCTCAGGGGACTGACATGACTGCCCCTGTCTTGGTGACTTGCGTCCCCCTACGTGTGGCTCTGCTCAGAATGGAGCCAGGACATCTAGAAACAAGGGCTATGATGGTGACCGTCTTTTAGGTGTTCTGGTCATCTGCATCTCCTCTTGGAAGAACTGGCTGCTCATATTTTATCCCCCCTCCCTCTTACTTTCTTTCAATGGGGCTGTATTTGTTAACTTGTAGAAGTAGCTTATGTATGTTGGATAATAGGTCCTTATTGGATAGGAGGTATATAAAAAGAAAAAACAACCCCAAAAAAAGCTCTCCAAGAGTATAGGTTATCTTCTGACCTGGTTGATAAAGTCCTTTGATGTGAGAAGGTGTGTCTTTTCACCAGCTCTGGTCTATTTGTCTCTGGGCTGCTCAGCCTCTTGTTATCAGTGCTGAGAATCTATTGATAACACTTTCCCCTGCACTCATCCTCACATTTTCCTCTAGGAATTTTAGAGACTTTATTTATTTTTTTTTTTATTTTTGGGTTTTTTTTTTATCCTTCAGACTTTAAAACCCAATACCAGGAATTTGGCCCAAATGCCTTTTTTAGACTG